ATTATAGAGCAAGCCATTTACCTTAATCGAGTATCCTAGCGGGCATGGTCAAAGAAGCTTCTTACAGTCGGACATGAAGTGGTTCTGCTTTTTGTTTTGGTTTGTATACCGATTTATTCTCGCTTGCCTGGCTCACTTTAATTGGTGAGTTTCGTTTTCTTCGTTTTCTCAGTGCTTTGATTCATTTACGGTCTTTTGCTTTCTAACCTTACACCGAGAAAAAGCAACGGGAGGGTTTTACAAGTCAGCTATCAGATTTTGTAACGTAAGCGTTTGCGAGCACTCCACTGATATTGACGCCTTTCTTTCATACTTAATTGTTTTATGTGGATTGTTTCTACATCTCAAATGAGTCCTGTTAGATTTCTAGCGTATTTTATATTGATTAGGGATTTCCGCTTTGTTTATGTTGTTATATGAAGTGAAGGACAATCTTCATCTCACAAACGAGTCCCATCCATTTCTCATGATTGATGAATCACAGTAACAATTAGTGTGCAAAATGTATAACCAGAATTTCTGTGTCTATGGGGTACACGATTATTTCGGTTATTTCTTTTTGTGCTCCTTCGAAAATCAAATTAGAAATAAGCAGTATCCTGCATTGGGTCATATTGCATTAGCGATGATTTCCATTTTGAGACTCCGCCACATGCGGTTGGCAAAAGATTAAGCCTCATAGAGCTCTCGCGAAGTAATCGCCGCTGCTCAAAAATTTTTTTCGGGTACAGTACAGAATCACTAACACTTGACATATTGAAAAACAAGATTTAGTAACTCCGGGATTTCGAGTGAATTCGCTGGATTTCATTGGGTGGATTTGCCAGAAAGGGTTGGAAGTATGGAAATTCTCACGTATTTCTACTACTCAGCCTTTGAGGCCATACTGTGCCTTGTGTCTTCCAGACTTGGAAGGGGAACATCCTTCCATACTGTTTCCAACTTAGTAACCATCTATTGCTTGTTATTGATGATATTTGAGAAATACAGGCACGTTATAGAAAAGAGTTTGTCGCAGTCGTATGATGGTTTATGCCGGCAGTGAAAAAACGAAACCAGTTACGCAGATTTGTATTCGGTTTTATTTCTGAAAGGATCTGTACACGCAATATGTTACTTCTAGGCGTTGTAAACGAAAACATACTTTCCCTTACACAAGATTAGGCTGAGTCGGAGCAAAGGCTTCTTCGCCGTTTTATTCCGATCTATCCTTCATTGAAAGTTATATCAACAGATAACTGGTTTGTTCACCACCCACAAACATCGTTTCCACCCACAAGTTCACTCAACATAGCAAAGAATGCCCTTTCATTACTTGTTTTCATAAAGTATATAGTGTTACTGCAAATTTGTGGCAAAGATTGATCTTTTCTTTCCGGAGGAATGCAGAAACAAAGGCGTCCAAATCAAACTAGGACAAAGGGGTCTTTGGGGGCCCACATATCGTGCCTAACTCCACTTCCATCCGATCATCGTAATATAAAGCTTTTTGGTTTGGGTTCGGGTGACAAGAAGGCATACTTTCAATTACTGCCAACATATCAAAGTATACATTAATATGTTGTAATGTCTGATTATGGATCATTCTATTATCTTTACGAGCACGTTTTGGGCAGCATGACTTATGGAGAAAGCTAGGCTTGAGATGACTGGAACTTTAGGCCTCAGATGTGATTCGAGATTGTCGTATTTTCAATTATAAGCTGCTAATTTGAGGTCGGTCGCAGTTTACACTAACTGTATCTACTTTACCTTATGGAAGAGTTACGATCTACTATGGTTTTGGATGCATCTCACACTATGTTCCTGCTTCCAATCATTACGCCGAGAGAACTACTTGGTTGTGTGGAGCAATTTGATTTGGAAACGCTACACAAAATACCCTGACCACACTTATAAGGTAAAAACTCCCTTAAAGTTTTCCCTTTTTAAATATGATGTGGCGCTGAGAATACAACTGACGTGTTTTGGATATCATAGATTGTACTGAAATGAGCTATTCAAGAAAGCAATGGCAATTATGACTTAAAGAGTTGGGCTCCTTACACCAACGCGTGCATCACAACAAACAACCCACTAAACAGACGCCGATTTTTCGATCAGAGTGTCTTCTCTCAGGGATCTGTTTATGGGCTGTGGTGGGTTCGGAGATTATGCCAAAAGTTCAAGATTTTCCATCTCACCACGGAAGAGTTTCCTTCGTTCGAATTGTTGGCCTATTCTTACTCTTTCAAACCTTTCTTGGTGTCTTCCTTTTTCGAGCAAAGTTATGAAGAATTCTCATTGCACCCCGGTGCATGCCACTCCTTGACAGCGGTGCTCTCTTGAGCCCATATGTGCCTTGTTAGTTTTGCCCGATGTTCCAGCAATCCCAAACTTGACCCGACTTCTTCAGGTAAACCGACTTTCGGGACAGATAAAGGGAGGTGAATTCTTTATATGTAGTTAGTAATGATAATTACTTCATATTTAAAGGGATTTTGGAAGATGAGGGCGTCTTTAGACAAAGTCATGAATTTGTGATCTAAGCTACGCCCAGCTCAGTGCAAATCCCTTCCACTGTGGAAATTTGACCAACCTTCTTCTGGCTGCCCCTGACCATTTTCCCCGCTGAACTTTTCTAGACAAAGTTATGGATTTAATTCTTAGGCCCGCCCGCCTCAGTGCAAACTCTGCTTACCTCGTGAATTTGACCCCATCCATTCAACAATCTCGAACCGCTTTTTTCGTCATTTAGAACTTTTTTTACCAGAGTTATAGGATTTTGATCTTAGTTGCGCTTTGGTCCCTATGAGGGTTAGACTATATTCCTTCGAAAACCTCAACCTCTGTTTTCCGAGTTCCAGAACATTTTCAAGTAGAGTATAGGCTCTTGATCTCAGCTCCATCCTTGACCATGTTTTTCATCCACCTTTACCCCAAAATTGAGAATGTTCTTGAACAGAGTTTGAACTCACCCCTCCCCTTCATTGCAAGCCTCACCCGCTTCGAGGATTTGACCACATTCCTTCAATAATCTATAACTGGTTTTTCCGCAATCTAGAACGTTTTTGAAAAACGTTATGACCTTTTTTCAAGTACCTTACATTTCAATGCACGCCACCCCATCATAGGCGGAGCTTCCCTAAGTTCTTGTACGCTCAGCACATATTGGATCTCGCCCACTCTTTTCATTTTTTTCTTGCCTCGAGACTTTCGTTTATTCGATTTTCGTTACTTATTTGAAAGTTCCGCCACTCCTCCCATCGCGGTGAGTCTCAATCATTTCATTTATTGACCCATCCCTCACCTTTGCTCATTTCCCTTGTCGTTTGGGCGTTTATGAATCCAAGTAGGATGTTTTGCCTGTGGCACTGCTCTCCTTTGGCATTGCTGAGTTTTCGCTTTCGGAGTTTACTGGTGTGCTTTCTGTGCGTGCACCGATCGTGCGTCTGACCGAGTGACTGACCGGCCGGCCAACCGACGGTGTTGGTGGCTACATGTTGACAACACTGGCGCGTAATCCAGCGACTTCACTGTTGTCAACCAATGGCTAATGCCGCCGTCGTTCGGTCGAATGCACGCACGGAAGGCTCGCCGTTGAACTCTGAAAGCAGCCAGGCATCATCCTCTGCTCACTATTTTCCATTACAGCTATGGCGCCCTATTCCCTATTCTAGCCGAGCTCAAGCGAAATTTCGAATGTGAATGTTCATGATTGTTAGGCAGCTAAGTACTCCACCCTTAATGAGTGAATCCCCAGGAATGGAACCAAGGGTGTTTTGGATGAAACAGTTTTGTGTATATGTGAAAAATTATTTTGTGCTCTTGTTGAATAAAAACGTAGATAAGCGGTTGTGTACATGTGGTGCATGCGTTAGCGTGCGTAGCCCATGGGTACTGAATATTCCACGTTGTTGGTTGGTAAATATCGTCAACTATCCTGATGTCTTATTGCTCCTCGGCAGGCTATAGGATCGTTTTTAGCAACTCTACTTTGCGCTGTATGGCGGAACAGGAACAAAAGCGGAACGCGCTTTAGAACGAATGGACACTATTGAGAGTAGAGAAAGAGAGCAAAGTAGGCTAAAGCCAGGTAAGCGTACACTCGATTTCGACCTCATGATTACGAGGAATCCTTCTCAGAGGTCGACTCCTCCTCTTCCGAAGATGGTGAAAATGATGTTGACGAAAGCGATGAGCGAAGTACTAAGATTACAACATGGTAATTTTAACTCTTTTAGTTCTTAGAGTCACTCCAGATTCTAGCTTGTTCAGTGGTCCTCGTGCTGTTATTTCGGATGTAATTGCTGAAGAAGAAGCAGAGTGTAGGAAGTACGTGTACATTGGACAAGCCGTTGACTCCCAGGCGGATCTTCAATCAAGTAATTGCGTTTATGTTCTTAAAGTTAGTATTAGATTTTTATCGCTTCCTTCAGTGAGATCTGAGCAGCATCAAAGAGAGCCATTGGAAATTCCCAATACAGTACCTGTACGACCAAGTCGACCTTCGAAGGAAACGGTTGCGAATGACATAGGTTGGTTTTATTTCCACAGAAGTTCTTCAGTTCAGCAATGCACGCTGTCGCGTAATTTGCAACTACCAATGTATAAGAGGCGCGCTTGCCCCATCATCTTCACCTTGCGCTCTAATGTTGACATCTAGCTGAATAAGGGGATTTATTTATATTCGTCCCCTTCTTTGTACACTGGTCCTAGTATGAACTTTTTGCCTCCCACCTTAATCTCTGTTCAGCTCCTTTCCGGACTCTGAAATTTGATCTGTATTGTTGATTTCCATACTTAAACTTAACCTTCTTGGTCTACACACAACCTACCACGAACACTTGAATT